CTTTGTGAATCTAAATCTAAGGTTTTATATATTACATTCCTTGTATACTGTAACAGATTCAACTATCAGCACTATCTAGATGATTTAAAACATATATTGGATTAAAATCTCAGTCCTTAGACACGTCTTTATCTGGATGGAGGTTCATATTTAACTCAATGACTTTATTGGGAAAATTATTTGAATAATTTTAATGATGAATATTTATCAAGGAAAATCACATGTATCAAACACCAGGATAGATACTTGGATAATTACTCCCATTTCTTTAAATCTTGTTTTGAAATAAGAATTCTACCAGGTTGTTTTTCTTAAAATATTATTATCTGAGACTTTAGAGAGAAGTCTCTTACCTGGTATTAAGTGTCACACTTGGTTCATTTTATTTGACCTTTATAATTTTGTTCTTAAATTTTAAGAGCTTTTTCTTTCAGATAATCACTTCCATTCAAAAGTCTATGTTTTTTTTCTGTCATGTTTTCCATTTGAGAGACGCCCAAGTGTTCTGAACAATAGCTAGAACACAAATGAAGAGTTTTAAAAGTAAGCGAATGATGCAGTGCTGACCTGGACATTCAGGTCATCTTCCTTGGCAGGGCCCTTAGTGGGAAGTGGCCAGGAGATGAGAAAATAAAGACAGAACCTGACAGGTGTGGTCAGGTGGTCTTGCCTAAAAACCATGTTTTATGTTTAACAAGCTTATTAAGAAGTACAGCTTCTTATATACTGTTTTCAGGAGAGAAATGAGACAAAGTCAGCAGAAAGTATCAACAATGGGACAAAGTCAGGGGGAAGCTAAATTAAACAATGTTATCTTAGGGGACCAAAGGTTTTGTCAAGAACATTACAGACATGGCACACAATGGCCTTGGGACTAATATTCACATTCCTGTAGAGAGGACAAGCTGGATTCTCAGTATCAGAAGCCACAGATTCCCCAAGGCTGTGGGCCCCAGTAATTACTGGTTCTTCCAAGCACTTTCCTGGTTTTAGACAAAACAAAACAAAATAAAAACAAACAAACAAAAAACCCTGCATTCTTTCTCCATACTATAGGGTGTCAGGGAAAGCCTTGGATAAGGTCAACCTCAAAAGAATGCCATAAAATTCTGATAAATGAATAATGATTGACATAGTCTAACTAACTCCATTATCTGAAACCCTTATGAGACACATTTATTAGAAAGAATGTAGACTATAACTGGAAATTCACTGTAAGAGAAGCATAAACATTTCTAGCTCCTAGAAAGGCTTTTGACTATGTAACCAAAGATGCAGTGGATACAGTAAACACTTCTGTGTGGATGACGTGAGGCTGACGCCACTGTTTTCTGTATTAAGTGATTCTGTGTGCCAAAGTAACTGTAGTGGCAGTTTTGTTGTCTTGAAATGTAAACAATTATTGATACTATTTGTATTTTTAGTATCATTGACTCATATAACAATGTCAAAACCTATTATTTCAGTAATTCTTTAAATGAACTTTTAATTTACTAAGCACACAGCTTGTGTATGAGCATATGCTAGAGTACTCAAGTTCATGAAATGATGCTAATCACATTGATACCTAAAATGAGCCAGACACAGAAGGAGTTATTAAATTAGTTGCAAGATGCAAGCAAATAAGTTGTTGATTTAGTCCCAGAAAACTTGCAAAGAAACTCAACTTGTGTGCCTGCCGTGACTCACATGGTTTCAATCTTCAAATTGGGAAATTCTGCTATTGTTGTAATACTATTTGGGTCTAAGAAAAATAAAGTGATATTTGTTTCACCATGGTTATTGAATATTTGCTATAGATACAAAGTATCTAGGAACTGGAAAAAAATAAAGATAAACAAGGAGCTCTTCTGAAAAATATAGACATCTGTAGAATGACTATAAAATCTTTACATGCTGATCAAAAGATAAAAAACTTTGTGTTGATAAAAGAAAACAGGAAATAGTTCTGGAGACTGTTGCTGTTTCTGTGTGGATGTTGATGAGCCCATTGTTCCCCATTTAATAAATGAGTCTCTGTATGGCAAAAATGGCCATATCAGCAACTTCCAGTTCAAAAGGTGAGTACCCATCTCCAAAGGTAGCATAAACACAAATGACTACACGTATGAAATGCTTATGTATGAAATGGATAGATGTTTATTCTGAATTAAGAAAATGCTGAGAAAGGAAGTAAAGTTTATAAATAAGGAAAGACATCATGTAACACAGTTGCAAATAATGGTGTATGCAAGGAGAGCATTTTTTTACACTGTTGGACTAGAAATTATGTTCAGCTATGACAGTGCTAGAGGTGATCCATGCTGATTTTTGAGTTATTATATTATAAAAAGCAGCAAAAGGTAAAGAAAGTAGAATGGGAAATAAATGTTTTCAGTGATAAGAAAATAATAGTGATATTCAGTGATAAGATAATGATTAGAAAATGTCAAAAATAAGCTCAGCAGAAGAGTCAGTGACACCACAAGAAAACCTACATAATCCGCTAACCTGGAGCAACTGGGACCTACAGAACTGAACCACCAATCAGGGAGCATGCATGGAATGGACCTAAGCCTTCTGCACATATATAACAACTTTGCAGCTTGGTCTTCATGTGGGACTCCTAACAGCAGGAGCAAGGGCTGTCTCTGATTCTTTTGCCTGGCTTTGGGATCCTTTCCCCCTAATTGGCTGTGTCTGCTACTCTCAATAGGAGAAGATACTCCTAGTCTTCCTGCAACTGGATATGCCAGGCTGGTTGATATCTATGGGAGACCTCCCCTATTTTGAAGAGAAAAGGAAGAGGGAGTAGAAGGCATGGGGAGGGTATTGGTGAGGAGAGCTGGGAGGAGAAGAGGAGGGAAAACTGCAGTGGAAATGTAAATTAATTAATTAATTTTAAACAGTAAGATGGTATTTTAATTCTAGGCATGTTGCCTCTATACCCAACATAAAATCAGATATTTTTTTTAAAAAATCAATTTTAGGTGGAAAATAAACTCATATGTTAATAGAAGAATTGACAGCTGGCATTCTCCTAACAATAGGTAAAAATCTGAAAATATAATACTTATCCACAATACTTTCATTGTCATTTCTGCTCTAAGACCTAAAGTAAATGTAATATGGAAGCTAAACTAGATAGATAGATAGATAGATAGATGTGTAGATGAATAGATAGATATGTAGATAGATGATAGATACGTAGATGGATAGATATATATGTAGATGATAGATAGATATGTAGATGGATAGATAGATATGTAGATGGATAGATAGATATGTAGATGGATAGATAGATATGTAGATGGATAGATAGATAAGTGAATAAATAAATTCACTTGACTACAAGTTTATATGAAGACAAAAGAAGAAGAAATGAGCCCAGGAGATGCGATGCGAGTGCAGCAATGGTCCCTCTTGGCCACTCTGCCAAAGTATTGGCACTGTCACCTGCCACAGCACAGAACAACAACAGGAGAGAAGTCTATGCTCCTCAGATCTCTTGAGAGGAAAGGGGTGTGCCATTTCACAAGTAAATGGAAATATAAAAAATACAGTCTGAGCTCACCGTAGCTGGTGCCATCCCTGGGAAGGTAGGTGGTCCCGTGTTGTACAAGCACCCAGGCTGACCAAACCAATAAACGGCATTTTTCCATGGTCTTTGTGTCAGTCCCTCACCCTAGGTCACTATGTTGATTTCCTTTCCTGACTTCCTTTGAGGAAGGACTGTGATACGGAGGAAGATGCTAAATAAATCCTTTCTCCTCACGTTGCTTATGGCTTCGGTGTTTTATCACAGCTGTGGTGACTGTGGGTCACTCAGCTTACCGTCCCACTATCTGAGTAAGAACCAATAGAAGGTGGCTAAGTACTTGTTTTGTCCAATGATGATAAAGTAAGTACAAACTATCACTGTTGTCTACATCGTTTCATGAAAAGAATGAACTGATAGCAAAACGCTGGATGGATATGACCTAAGAGAAAGGCTGCTTTACGAACTCGCTATTTTCCTTATTTTGATGCAGGAAAGTAAAAACTTGTCTGTGGACTGGAACTGGAGCTACAATGACAAAGGCTGACACACGCTACCATGCTCATAGGATGAATGAAAGTAGCAGTATCAGCAACTGTGGCATTAGTTTCTTCGCCAATTCATGTCTTTAAATAAAGTGGGATAAGTCATTCTCCACAAATTCCTTATCCATTTTAACAAAGCTTTGGTAAAAACAAAATACATATAAATATTAGCTATGCCTGGTTATTAAAATCAAGAAATGATTGTAGGATGTGCTATTCATAACTAAATCCTTTGCCTAAGCGTTATATCAGATACGCCATTGACAAGGTAATTGTAGTTTTTATTTTTTTCAACAGTAGTAGCTTACTTCTGAAATGCTAAAATTTTGAAGACAGGAGAGAGCCTTCCACATCATAACACCCTTATAACTAAAGCAATAACTTGTCACATTGTTGAACCCTTGTAAGGACTTGCTTAATGACTGAAAAATCATTGTGATGGGATTATGTTTCCTAAAACATAATTATACTAATAGAACTTTCTGTTTCTGTTTCTGGTTTATTTATTGTAGTAGGAAATAGACCTGCTCTCTGACCTTTATTTATTCTTTAGATAGATGTTCTGTTCCCTAACTGATGATGATGATAGAAATGCACAGAACAGTGTCCCTGCCTTCAGAGATGTCAAGAGTAGTTTCAATCTGGAGCTAGTTCATGTGATGCTTCTAGCACAGTGCCTTACAGAAACACACGACTTTTTAAAGGCTATAAATAGTGGTAATTTAATTATTTTAAATCTCAATAGAGTAAACACTTGCTCAGATATGTTTTTGTTAGTGAGAATAAAACCTGTTTATCACCATTAAGTGGCAATACCCACGCTATTTATGTACAAGTTCTCCTCACTAACAGATGATAGTCTCTATCCCCTTGACACAATTCACACAAATTGCAGCCTTAGCCTTATCCGTTTTAAATGAAACAATAAATTGGCTTACTGTTGCATGTCTTGTTGTACTTGCTGTTCTCCTGTGCAAACCCTTCCAGCCGGCACTGAAAACGATGCTGCCAAAATTCTTGAAACCAAGGGTTTCTGAGGTTTGTTTCTGGTCGGAGTTTTAGATAATAATCATCAAACCACTTGACATCAGGAGACTGGAGTTTGATTGTAATTCCACCAACAGCTTCTCGCTGATACCCATCTGTCACGTCATACCTGTCAGCCCAGCCATCACTGGGGAAATAAACAAAAACAATTCCCTCAGCTTAGAGCAGAAATATTCCAGGGAAATGAATCTTTCTGGTTGTTAATTGTAAAATAGCTTCATGAAGACCATGCATTGTATGCCAGAGGTGACTGTTACCTACCAAGCTGTAAGAAGCAAAAAACAAAGGCACTGCCATGATGGAAAATCTGGATTTCAGATGCCAGAAGGCAATTGTAGAGGAGGAGCTGGTATTTTTTTAACGGAATTATACAGATTGCAAAACACAGTGCAAGTTTCACAATTTTACCATGAATAATTTTTTGTATATTTAATAAATGAATCAAATTAACTTTAAACACATCTTCCATTTACATTATAATAATCATTAGAAGAATAACAAAACTGGCAGTTAAAGATTGGTAAATAATTTTAAACATATGCAATATTTATTAAAGTACACTATGACATGATATTATTATTGACATAAAACATAAAAATTATCCTCCCATGCCCCTCCAATAGTCCACTGATAGAGGAGGTCCTCTTTCCCTGCCATCTGACCCTAGCCTGTCAGGACGAGATTGGGAGGATTTGAGGAAGGGAGTTACAGCTGGGATACAAAGTGAATGAATTTTAATAAATTTAAAAATAAATGAAAAATAAAAATTAGTATGCAAAAATTATAAGGGTTAAAGTATTTTACAGGTAGTCATCCTGTTAAACGTTGATTTCTCAAAGTCTGAAACTAAAATATTTAAAGACTTCTGTGCCTATGTTCCTTCCTACCCTATGAAATTTCTCAAATACATATAAACGTATATACTAAAATCATATATTTGTATGACTTCAAGAAATTAAATTAAGGGATATCAATGACAGAGAGGGAACACACCCCTCAACTCAAAATCACACTTTGACTCTCATGGGATAATCATACTTCAATCTGTATACCTAAGGAAGCTAATCAAGAAGGAGGACCCTGGGTAAGATACTCAATCTTCATTCAGAAAGGCAAATGGGACAGACATCAAAAGAGGAAGAAAACTGGGAACAGGATAAGAGCCTATCACAGAGGCCCTCTGAAAGACTGTATCCAGCAGGGATCAAAACATATGCTGAGATTCATAGCCAAACTTTGGACAGAGTGCAGGGAATCTTATGAAAGAAGGGGGAGATAGAAAGACTTGAAGTGGACAGGAGCTCCACAAGGAGAGCCACAGAACCAAAAAAATCTGGGCACAGGGGTCTTCTGTGAGACTGATACTCCAAACAAAGGTCATGCATGGAGATAACCTAGAACCCTGAACAGAAGTAGCCCATGGTAGCTCAGTGTCCAAGAGGGTTCCCAGCAATAGAAACAGGGACTGTCTATGACATGAAATTATGGGCTGGCTTTTTGATCACCTCTCCTTGAGAGGAGAGAAGCCTTACTAGTCCACAAAGGAAGACAGTGAAGCCGGTCCTGATGAGACGTGATAGACTAGGATCAGATGGAAGGGGAGGAGGACCTCCCTTATCATTGGACTGGGGAAGGGACATAGGAGAAGAAGAGGGAGGGAGGGTGGGTTTGGGAGGGGATGGGGGATGAGACTACAGCTGGGATACAAAGTGAATAAACTGTAATTAATAAAAGTAAAATAAAAATTAAAAAAAGAGAACACACAAAATGAGGAAAAGTATTCTAAGCTTATGTAGAAAATAAAAAAACCCACAATATTGGAAATAAAATACAAGAAAAGACATTTAAATTAAATAGTTTGTCCTGCAGCAGCTAGAAGAGGAGTCTTTGATTTCCACTGGAGCACAGAGCTGGCATTGTTCTTCTGCGCCAAGTGATGCTGTCCTTTCTTAATGACACGGAAGTTCCTTATATTCTGCAATATGTCCTCCAATAAAACTTTTACAATTTAATAAACTAACACTAAGGAATCAAAGAAGTAATGTGGGGGGAACAGAGGGGAAGGGCAGAGTGGTTCCTGCTGAATGCAATGCAGGAAGATGTCTGAATCTGAGCAGCTGTTGGAGGACACTGATTTAAATTATTACCCATTGTTCACCTCATCTGTATTGTTTTCTACTGAATAAATGTTTTTGCCCAATATAATAATTTTACTATAAAACCAGTAGTGGCAAAATATTAGGTAAGAAATTAAAATATTTTTAAATGAATGAATAGGTTAAAGTATGATATGCTTTATTGTTATACAATTCTGACTTAAATATTGATAATTAGGATTTGTTGCAAAGGTTATAAATTATCATTAGTGTATGACAGAACATGATGACCTGAGATATTTCCCAAGGCAAAAGAGTGGAGTGGGAGAAAAAGAAATAAGCAAACAAAATGAGCCAATTCTTCTCCTAAGGTTCTTTAAATGAGATCTCTTATTAAAAGTTACCTATGGAGTAATTAAAAAAATAACTTTGTGGCTGTTTAAGGAACAAGAAGAAAAGTAGAGAATTTTGTCCCAATGTTGAATCTGGATACTTTACACATTTTCTTCTCTCGAGGTTCTAATTTTCAGCTGCAGAAGATTTTATTTAAAGCTGACAATTAGAAGTGAAGTGGGCTTGTTTGCCTCTTTCCCTCCCTCTGTTGTTGCTGATAGGACAATGGGTATCACTGGCACCCAGGAGCTGCATGGACGAGCTGCAAGCAGGACAGGGAGCTCTATCTGTCAAGTGAAGTCTCAGCCTTCCTGGATATGTGAATGCAAATTGTTCCTTTGGTTAATGTTAGCTCACTCTTATGTAACAGTATGATTATGAATGTTATATAAAAGTGTGAGATGATAATAGGTTCAATTTACTCTTCACAATCCATTCATTGAATTTAATGGAGTTTGCAAAAAAGCTGGTTTTGATAAACTCTCTTGTGGATAATGTTTCCATAGATGAAAAGTATTTGGATTCAAGAATGTTAATTTGCTCATCTTTGAGTTTGTTCCTTCACTCTTTGTTTCTCTCAGGCATAAATCTCTAACAATTTAGGGAAAATGATGTGTTGTTGTTAGCCTTGCTGGCTCATGCTGTAAGCTTAAAATTATTTTGATCCAGATATTTCCAATTTATAGTAAAAAAACAAAAACAAAAAGAACACAGAGTTTGTGTAGAAACATAACATTCTCAATAACCATGTATCAAACAGGGTTATTTTTTTTTAATTTGTTAAGAATGTTTGACAGGGGGAGCAGCCTTACCAGGCACAGAGGAAAACAATGCAACTAGTCCTGATGAGACCTGATAGGCTAGGGTCAGATGGAAGGGGAGGAGGACTTTTCCTATCAGGAGACATGGAGAGGAGCATGGGAAGAGAAGAGGGAGGGAGCTACAGCTGGGATACAAAGTGAAAAAAACTGTAATTAATATAAAAAATTAAAATTAAAATAAAAAAGAATGTTTGCCAGGTAAGGTCCAAGAAAGAATATTTTATCCTGAAAAGGTGCTATGTACTCTAGTTATCACTTAAGCTTTTTACAAATGAGCTTTCAGATTTGTCTAAAATGACAGCATTCAAAACAAGGAATACAAGGAATCTAAAAAATAAAATACATGTTAAGAAAAACTAAAATTTACCTTTCTACCAATTAGTGGTGTCCATTGCTTTGATAGAATGGTCTTCAACAGGTTGGTAATACACCAACACTTAGAGTGATATGTATTTTAGCATTGCAAGGGAAAAGGGAGAAAAACCTAAGGAAAGCCAGGTGTGGTAGTGCACACCTGTAAATCCAGCAGAGGCAGAGGCAGGAGGATCGTTGTGAGTTTGAGGGCATACTGGTCTTCAAAGCAAGTCCAGAACAGCCAAGGCTACAAATAGAAATCTTATCTTAAAAAACCAAACCAAACAAACAAACAAAAAGGCACTTTTCCCAGATTTATTACATGTGTATCCATCAATCTGTCCATCTAATTTCCTTTTCTCCTCACTAGTGGGCATTTTCCCTCATCCTTTATAATCCATTCTATTTTGCTTCCCCAATTTTTAAAATATACAGATTTTTAATTTTTATGATTCTCTATTTACAAATCCTGGACTGGGGTATAGTTCAGCAGCAGAGCACTTGACTAGTGTGCCCAAAGGCCAGGGTTTGAGCCTCAGCCTTCCCACAATATATCTGTAAATATAAGTATGTTCTACACTTTAGTTACAGTACCATTATTGTTGATTTACTTTGGAGTCATCCACAAGTCTGGACAGAAAAGGAAAAGCAGAGTGTCCTGACATGATATTCTCATTTGAGGTTGAACAAGATGTCTGTTCTAACACATGCAAGTCTCTTTTTCATAATGTATTTGTTATGCCAGGATCACGAGACCCTCAGAGACCACCAGGACACAACTCGATGCAAAAACAAGAGAGCTTTATTACAAGAGCGATCAAACTCGGGACCCAAGCCTACTGATGCAGCAGTAGAGACGTGGGACCTCGAGCCCTGGGTGAACAGGGTTTTTAAAGGGAAAAACTGCCAGCAGCTGTTTTTTATGACAGCAAGCAGATGTGTTCATGCCTTACCATTACAGGATTCGGTAGAAGTCAGAGGGGCAAGGTGATCTTCTAGCTGAAGTCTAATTCACAACAGTTATTCTTCTAAACTACATCCAGAATGTTGGGGAGAATTTTCCCAACCAGTTCTCATTGATAGTTGCCAGGGAGATTGTTTCTATTTTTTTTAATTTTTTATTTAACTTTTATTAATTACACTTTATTCATTTTGTATCCCCCCATAATCCCCTTCCTCCTCCCCATGCGGTCCCCCCTCCTCCCCTGTCTGCATGCATGCCCCTCCCCAAGTCCACTGACAGGGGAGGTCCTCCTCTCCTTCTTTCTGATCTTAGTCTATCAGTTCTCATCAGAAGTGGCTGAATTGTCAGGGTTCTAGGTTATCTCCATGAATAGTCCTTGGAGTATGAGTCTCTGGGAAGTTCCCTGTGTTCAAATTTTCTTGTTCTGTTGCTCTCCTCGTGGAGTTCCTGTCCTCTCCAGCTCTTACTATTTCCCACTTCTTACATAAAATTCCATTCA